TTTGCCAATACTGGCCCGATATCGGCCCAGTCTTCTTTGCCAATACTGGCCCGATATCGGCCCAGTCTTCTTTGCCAATACTGGCCCGATATCGGTCCCGTCTTCTTGCCAATACTGGCCCGATATTGGTCCTGTCTTCTTGCCAATACTGGCCCAATATGAATGCCGAACACCGTTGAACAAACGGGCTAATATTGGGCTGTTATAAAATACAAAAATGGGACAATACTGGACCAATTGTCAATATCGAGTATCGGCTATAAAGTTTGGGCCATTGTTGGCCTAGTAGTATTACTGGAAGTCTGTCGGCAATTCCTACATGGGTTGTTGTAGTGACATGCATTTTGCGACAAATTTCCGCGTTAATTAATATTTTGTGCGTTTGTGTGTTACATTACGTTGCGAAAATATAAATGCGCTAAACCTCCCTTTCTCTCTCTCTCTCTCTCTCTCTTTCGAAATAAAATACACATGGTTTGTTACGAATGTGCGTGTAATCGCGCTTAAGCGATCAGTGTGCGAGTAATATTTAATAACGCGTCAGAGTGTCGTGTGCGCGCACGAGGAAGTTTCCGTCGGGAATTGGAGTGTTCTCGAAATAGCTTAATTGTAATAATTAACCATATCGCTAGATAGAGTTGCTAATTACCGACTAATATGTACCTGTAATTCTCAAATGAAGCATCTCGCTCGGTTCTATTGTATAGCGCGAACTTTCCTTTTCTCTTTCTTTTTTTCTCTCTTCTTCTACACGGATTTTAAAACGTTCAGTTTTAATTTAATCGACAGCTTTCATTGAAATTGCGAGAGAGAGGCCGTGAAATTTTTGCGCATTAAATAATAATATTCATTAATTGCATTTAATCGTGTACTGAATTCCTGCTTTGCATAAAATGTGCGTCAATTTATCACGAAGTTAATGAGATTTTATTGACAACGCGTCAATCTTTCCAAAATATAACGTATAAATTTTAATGCTATTCAAAGTTGCAAAAGAGGTATAATTTATATTACATAAAAAATTGATAGTCATGCACACGCATATGCATTGAATGAGATAAAAAAAAAAAAAAGAAGAGAGAAATCCTCGCGCTTTCTCTCGGGCTCTCGTTATCCAAAAATTAACAGTCTCATTACGTCAATATTATACGCGATGGGATACACTGATTGGTTTGCTTTGTCTGTCTATAAAAAAATAAACAAACAAACAAACGCAACTACAA